TCAGCACATGGAGTTAATGGCTAATGACATTTTACCACTTTTGTTTCATTGTTTTGCTAAACTACTTTAAGGTAAATTATAAACATCCTGATGCCTCACCTCACCCACTTCAGCCACATCTTGAAACCTAACTTGCCAGCTTCTTCCCCACTGCACTTTGGTCTCTTCTGAGAACATGACAGTAATCCCTTAGTGTCATCCCCTTCTTCATCCTTGTTCAGATTGCTCCAGTTTGTCCCCAGGTGGCCTTGTACGGCTGGGTGGTTCGAACCAGGATGCACGTTACGTTAGGATGCATTTACTCTGAAGTCTCCTTGATCTAGAGCAGTTCTGTCCTTTGGGGGGCAGGCGAGAGCCCAGCATCTTACTAGGACTTCTTATGGTGAAAGTCAAGAGATTGGGTTCTAGTACAAATTACGATTTTATTCCAGGCTTGTGCTTTTCGTCTGCCTGGCCAGAAGAAGATCTCATCACTTGGGATTAACACATCCTGATCGAATCAGGCTGGAGGCATGGGATCTGCTGGGCTCATTGTATGGCTATCCTTAATCAGGCTGTGTTATTGATTGTTGGGTTCAGTTAACTCTGACTTACAGCAATCCCATGTGACAGAACTGCCCCATAGGGTGACCTAGCAGATCACAAGGTCTTTCTCCCAAGGAGCTGCTGGGTGGATTTGAACTGCCAACTTTTCAGTTAGCAGCCAAGCAATTAACTGTTTATGCCACGTGAGTAGCAAATGAGTTTAGTAACTAAACCGCCAGAGGTCTGGTTTGATTTCATCTTTTTAGATTGCCTGTCGTAAGGGTGCCCCAGAGACTGGAAGCCTGCAGGGGCAAGTACTTGCCATTTCCAGAGCAAGGAAGGTGTTAACTCCTGCCAAGTCCTGGAAAGCGGCCTGTGCCTAGGCTAGCCATGCCTCTGGGCACTGGTGTGTCCCTGAGTCTGTGTTAGTGGTGGCCCCCCTCCCTGCACAGTGGTGGACATGCACACAGCCTGAGGAGCCCGGCCTGTGCCTAACCAGCAGGTCCTGGGGCTTGACACCCCCACGCTTGTGTGATGCACTCAGATGTGTTAAAATGGGGGACTGCTTGCTGTAGACAGTAGAGGCTCGGAGTCCCACCTTTGGCTTGGTGGGTTGCTGAGTGACAGCGAGCCTGCTTTAATGTGCAGATTGTTTGACAGGTTGTAAGTACTTGTGCTGCTATGCCAGAAATTGCACAAGTGGGTGCCTTTAATAAAGAGGCATTGTCTCACAGTCTAGGAGGCTACACGTCTGAATTCAGGGTGCCACCTCCAGGGGAAGGCTTTGTCTCTCTGTTGGCTCTGGGGGAAGGTCCTTGTCATCAATCTTTTCCGGTTGAGGAGCTTCCCAGCACAGGGACGCCAGATCTAAGGGATGGGCTGGTCTCCTGGCTTTTGCTTCTTGGTGGTATGAGGTCCCCCCATGTCTCTGCTTGCTTCTCTCTTTTCTATCTCAAGAGAGATTGGCTTAAGACACAACCTAATCTTTTGAATTAAATCCTGCCTTGTTAGCATAACTACCGCTCATCCTATCTTATCTCATCATAGAGACAGGATTTACAACACATATGAAAATCATATCAGATGACAAAATGGTGGACAGTCACACAATAGTGGGAATCCTGGCCTAGCCAAGTTGACAGATATTTCGGGGGGACACAATCCAATCCATGACACAGGTCTAAGGTGCTGTCTGCACAGGCGATGGGGCCCTCAGCTGTTCCTGCTAAAATCAGAGTCCTGCTAGAAGCCCAGAGGGGCAAAGGCTGTAATAAACCGCCGCATCCCAGAGGGTTCGGCAGTGAAACAGCCTGAGCAAGACACTGCTGCACCCTCGAGTGAGTCATCAGCGTACTCGTGGCAGAGCCACAGTTCTTGTCCTCCCCGTACCCAGAGCAGCCCAC